TCTCAAAAATAAAATAAACATTAAAAAAATTTCAATAAAAAAAAAAGCAAACACTGTGACCACTTTCCCGCATGTACTCCAAGGCCCACACCTACTACAGACTCAGCTGTCTCTTCCGTGGATCTCGCTTGCAGTTTCCACAGGACAGAAAAATTATCAGAATGTTCATGTTATGGACTGAATTGTGCCCCCTGCCCAAATTCGTATGTTGAAATCCTCACTCCCAGTACACCTGAGAATGCGACTGTATTTGGAGACAGGGCCTTTAGGACGCGCCTGCTCATGAGGAGGAGGAGAGACACCAGGGATGGGAGCACAGAGGGGAGACCGCGTGATGTCACAGCGAGAAGGCGGCCACCTGCAGGCCGAGGGGAGAGGCCTGGGGAGAAACCAGCGCTGCCGACAGCCTGAAATTGGCCTCCCAGACCCCAGAGCTGTGAGACAATAAATGAGCTGCTTAAGCCCCCCAGTCCGTGGTACTTGATCACAGCCACACGGCCTAGTGCAATCGAGAACAGAGGCTGCACCCTGAAATGTCCCAGGATCGCGCTGGATCCTTCCAGCAGCGCCTCCCACCATGAAGGCTTACCACGGGGCCCACCCCAGCCCGCACCTTCCACGGCTGCCCTCGCCCCTCTCAGAACACCCCCCACGTTAGCCGTCAGGAATCACACACGGCGTGCGGGGTTCCGTGTGCAAGGCCAGACAGGGGCAGAGCCAGAATCAGACCCTCACCATTCTGCGGCTTGTTACGCCCCAGCCTCCCCCAGCAGGGAAGGGGGGTGGCCCAGAGGCGGGCCGGGGTTAAGAGCGGGATCAGGGCACCGCCCAACAGGGGCAAAACGAGACAGGCAGACTGGAACCAGCACTGAGGACATCTGAAAACCCCGTTCTGGTGGGAACACGACCCGGAATGCCAGCCGCAGCCCTTCTGCCAATGGGGAATCGCCTGTACGGGCTCCGACGGGTCCGCCTGCACCGTAGGGATGAGCGGCTCAGGCAGGGGGGCTGAGCAGCCGCAGAGCGGCCCCCCTGCTCCCCCGTGTCCAGAGTCAGGGCGGCCCGATGTGCCTCCTGCCCAGCAGCCCAACTGCACGCAGGGTCTTCCAAAAAGACACACTTCCAGCAGAGCCCCCTCCTGGAGGGGGGGGCCCGCCCAGCTTGCTCTGACGAGCTTCAAGGGCCCCTCGGTCTACTAAGGTCTCCAGAGGTTAACCAGACCTCATCCAGGGCTGGGGGAGGGAGCGGGGGTCTCCCCTCTGTGATCACAGGAAGGACAGCGCATTCCTGGCCCCCTCCCCCGTTTCTTCTTCCACCCAGAAAGGGAGTCTCCCACTCCCGCATCACAGTTCAAGTGGTCACCTGACCCTTCTCACTTGTCCAGTCACTGGGGAATGCACACCTTCACAAAGGGTGGGGACTTTTGCCTTTCAGAGGGTTGAATGCATCCCAAACACAAGAAATCTCTGTAATAAGCAAGCATGCTAACCGAGCCCAGCGGGATTTAAAAAACAAAAACAAAAACAGATTTAAAAAACAAAGACAAAGGGGTGCCTGGGTGGCTCTCGGTCCTTGGGTCCCTGGGCGTCCAACTTCCCCTCAGGTCATGATCTCACGGTTCCTGGGTTCGAGCTCTGTGTCTGGCTCTGTGCTGACAGCTCTGAGCCTGGAGCCTGCTTCAGATTCTGTGTACCCCGCCCCCCCCCACCTCTACCCCTCCCCTGCTTGCAGTCTGCCTCTCTCTTTCTCTCTCTCTCAAAAAATAAACTTAAAAAAAAAATTTTTTTTTAATGAAATAAAAAACAAAGACAAAAACAAAAAACCGTGAAAGGCTGAAGAGCAATGAAGGTGGCTGTTTGGTGTCTCCCCACTGCTCCTGGGCAAAAATGTCCCCGGCCCGAGGTTCAAACCCAGCTCTACCCAACATCCCATGGCCAGGCAGGGACTGGTCCCAGCCATAGGTGGGCCATGAGATGGCAATGACCTCAAGGTGGGGCTGGGACGGTGGAGAAGATCAGCATCATGACTGCCCATCACAGACGTGACCACAGGCATGTTTTTAGATTAAAAGGCAACCAAGCCTTCGCATGAGGCCAAGTCTGTTCCCTTGCATGTCCTATGCCACAGGTCCTAGCCCTGCCCTGGGGCCACACCTGGAGTTTGGTTATGGAAGAAATATCTTCAACACTGGGGGACAAGAATGCCCATCCTTTCTGCACACAAACACAATCACAATCATTCTCCACGTTAAAAAGCTTCACGTCCTTCTAGAAGGTCCAGGACTCCCCCCAACGGTGGCTGCTCCTATGTGGACTGGGGGTTGACCCCATCACTGGGGACCTACAGAGGGACGACGCTCCGAAGAGACGTACCACAGAACAGGCCTGGTGTCAGGAGGAGAGGACAGAGCCAAGGAGCCGTAAGCAGCCCAGGCCCATCCCACCGGCAGGAAGGGCAAAACCAGAGGCCTCTCCCAACCGCCAGCTCAGCACAGTGAAGCGAGGGACACTGCGTCTCAGCTGGCACATCCTGGAGAAGGGCTCCCAGAGCAAGAGGGAGAGAAGCCAGAAGAAAGCACGTGCATCTGGCCGTGGCCATCCCGGGTATGGCTCTTGGGTCACACTGACTGCACCTTCTGCAGGTTCCCTTCCTTTCTTACATCCATCCTGACTGGGGACTCTGCTCCCCAGCAGGCACCTGTAAGAGGATGCTGAGCCTGGAGATTGTTTTTTTTTTTTTTTTTAGTATCTATGTATTTTGGGAGAGAGCCCAAGCAGGGGAGGAGCAGAGAGAGGAAGACAGAGGATCTGAAGTGGGCTCTGCGCTGACGGGCTGACAGCAATGAGCCCAATGCGGGGCTCGAACTCACGAACCACAAGATCATGGCCTGAGCCGATGTCGGATGCTCACCCGACTGAGCCACCCGGTGCCCCTGAGCCTGGAGATTTCTACTAGACTTTTGGGAGCAGCAGTGGGTCTGCAGAGCACAGAGCTGGCACCAGATAAGCCCACCTGAGACACCTTGCTGGGGAGGCTGTCCCCAGGAAGGGAAAAGAACACCTGTGGCGACTCCCCTGCATTTGAGCTCTCTCCCCACCTCTGTCCAGGTAGCTGTTCGGAGGACACCAAGGGTACTTCGGCAAAAAGGTGATTTCCTCAAGACTGCGGAACCAAGCTGGAAACAGAGCCCAGGGCAGCTGGTTTTCACTCACCCCTGCCCTGTGCCAGGAGGACCCTGCTCTCAGATACTCTCAAAAGCCCTCCCCACCCACCTCTCTCAGCAGGAGTCCTATAGCCTGCCCTGCTTTAGAGAGGATGGGCATGGGGGCCTTGGGTGGCATCGGGCAAACCAAAGAGCCTTAGGAAGACAAGGAAGAGCCTTGAAGCTCATACATATGCAGCAACTAGAGGACGTTCCACGGAGACTGGGGCACAGGACATCTTCCACTTAGACCTCCAACAACAGACCAGTAGTCAGAACTCATCAACAAATTCAGCAAAGTCGCAGGATACCGAAGCAATATCCAAAAATCAATTATGTTTCTACATGCTATCAGAAAGAGAAATTAAGAAAACAATTTACAAGGGTATCAAAAAGGATAAAAGACCTAAGGAATAAATTTAATCAAGGAAGTGAGACACCCGTACGCTGAAAACTAGAAGATCCTGATGAAAAAAGCGAAGACACAAATGCAAAGATGTGCTGTGCTCGCAGATCGGAAGCACTGAACTTATGAAATGCCCACACCATCTGAAGACATCTAGATTCAATGCAATCCCCATCAAAATTCCAATGGCAGTTCTCACAGAAAAAGAATAATCCTAAAATTTGCATAGAACGACCCCAAACTGCCCCAGCCGTCTTGAGAAAGAACGGGGCTAGAGATAGCATGCTTCCTGCTTTCAAACTCTAGCACGATACCTTAGTAATCAAACAGTATGGTATACTGGCATAAAAACAGACACATAGGGGCGCCTGGGTGGCGCAGTCGGTTAAGCGTCCGACTTCAGCCAGGTCACGATCTCGCGGTCCGTGAGTTCGAGCCCCGCGTCGGGCTCTGGGCTGATGGCTTGGAGCCTGGAGGCTGCTTCCGATTCTGTGTCTCCCTCCCTCTCTGCCCCTCCCCCGTTCATGCTCTGTCTCTCTCTGTCCCAAAAATAAATAAAAAACGTTGAAAAAAAAATTAAAAAAAAAAAAAAAAAACAGACACATAGATCGAGGGCATAGAATGCAGAGCCAAGAAATAAACCCTGAACCCATGCATATATGGTCAATTCAGTTACAACAAAGTTGCCGAGAATGCACAATGGGGGAAGGATGGCTTCTTCAATAAATGGTGTTGGGAAAACTCAACAGCCACGTGCACGAGAGTGAAACTGGGCCACACCGCCTTACACCGTACGCTCATGCAAAATTAAAAAATTAATCAAAAAAAAAAAAAGCAGGTAGCTTCATCCACCATTTGAGACTTCAGAGGAGTACAGCCTCTTTAAGGTGGTTTCCTCCTCCATAAATATTGAAACAATGATGGAGTTTACCTCCATGGGGTTTCCATTAGGCAGACACGTAGCCCGGTGGTTGGTACACAGTGCGTATTTAATAACAATCATCAATTATTGCCTTTTAACATGGCCATTCTACTTCCATTCCGATAAAAACAAAATCATACTGTGGGCAAATACAAGGATGTCCATATGAAAATGGAGACTCCAAATGACAGCTATAATGTGAACCCTCCACCACCACTGTGACCATTAAGAGAAATGCACAAGTTAGCAATGCTCTTAAAGTGTCAAAGTTCAATATAAATGACATCATAATGAATACTGATAGTCCACACCTGGAGCTGGGCACTCTTCTAAGAGCCTTTGATGTAACAATCAACTTAATCTTCCCAGACACCTACAGGGAAGGTCTGCGATCATCCCCACTCTAAACATGAGGGAACTGAGGCAGGAGGAGGTTCAACAGCATCTCAAGGTCACACCAGCAGGTTGGTGGCATGGCCAGTTAGCTGACACTTACTTACATAAAAACCTTGAGGATTAGGCCCTAAAGGGCCAATGGGTACCTGGGAACTTCTTTAGATTCTATTTTTCTCAGGTTACTTCAATGTGTATTTTCTAAATAGCCAATTAAGATTTTGGTATTTAAGGAATCACACCAGAATTGGCCCCGTGCCTCGGGTGTGGAGGCGGCACACACAGGTTAGATGCTCACTGGGAGCTGGACATGCCCCCAGGCTTACAAAGTCACAGGAGGGATGGATGGCCCAAGGGCAGCTGCCCCTCCCAGGGCCCCACGGTGAGTATTCACACCCTAGCGCGGCCAGTGTCACCTAATGGCCCTTGGGTAAAATGAAGCAGATGGGAGCCATGTGTCAGCTGGCTTAGAAGGGCTCACCCAGCATGGCCCCGGGACAGGGCAGGGGGCCCACAGCCGTAGAAGCCCTTCCTTGCCCAAGAATGATGGCATTTGGCAACATCCTACCTGCCGACACCAAAACTGGTCCACTTGTCTGCCCCACTGTCAAAGGAATCACATCAGATAGCAGGAAAGACAAGATGGTTTAAAAAAAAAAAAAATCTTATGCATCAAGCAAAGGTCAGAGCCGCAACTCCAAGACGTAGGCAGGCATCAAAAGCCACTTGAACACTCTTTAGAGTCCTCAGGGCCACACTTGACATTGGTGACCTTCACATCCACAGCATGAGCTACAATTGAGAGCAAGGGGAGCCACTGCACCAGCTGCTGGGCTGAGGGCCGGGCCTGGCTGCCAAGTTCAGGGAGAACAGCTGGAACCGGGCAGGAGGTCCCAGAAGAACACAGCTGAGGGCCTTAGTCCTCTGAATAGGGTTGTCAGATTTGGCAAATAAAAATTCAGAATGCTCCATTACATCTCCATTTCAGACCAACAACAAATTTTTAGCGGAAGTATGGCCCATGCAATATTCGGTATGTATTTATAGTTAAAAAAAAAAATCACTCATTTATCTGACATTTAAATGTAACTCGGTGTGCTGGGTCTTACCCGGCAGCGTTATCTCTGCAGCAGTGACATTTAAAATAAAAGCCGCCTTACTTCCCCTCTGCAAAAATGGTCTGCATAGACAGACCCCTACACAGAAGCAGGCCATGGTTGAGGATTGGGCCGAATGCTCCACCCAGGTTGGCAACCTCGAACCAGCCATTCTCACAAAGCTGCATTCAATCCCCAACTCATCAAGGCCTCCTCTAAGGTCACTTTGCCCGCAGGATGCCTTTCAAAGCATCCCACAGTGAATCCTGAGGGCCTACTGGGTGCTGGATGCCGTAGCCAACAAAGAAATAGAGGGATAAGGTCTGTCTGTTCCCTCTGAGCTGACATTCTAGAGAAGCTGAGAAACTAGAAAATCTCAGGTAGTGAATAAAATCAACAAGACCAAATGACAGGGAGGCCACATTAGACCTCAGGAAAGGAGGCTGAGGGGACTATACCTAAGCTGAGAGTCATGTGATTTCTGGGTGGAAAGTTACTGGTTAGTGCAAAGGTCCTGTGGCAGAAGACAGAAGCAAAACCACAATCGGTATGGCTGGAACAGAGAGACCAAGGAAAAAGATGGTGGTGTGTAAGGTGAGGCTGGAGTCAGTGGGTTTTCTAAACCAGAAAAAGGAGTTGGATTTTATCCTAAGTGCATAGAAAATCCTTGGTGGGTTTTTTTTTTTTTTTTTTCATGTTTATTTTTAAGCATGAGAGTTCATGAGCAGGGGAGGGGGAGAGAGAGAGAGAGGGAGACACAGACTCTGAAGCAGGTTCCAGGCTCTGAGCTGTCAACAAAGAGCCCAAAGGGTGGGGGGGGGGGGGGGCGGGGGAAGGTTGAACTCACAGACTGTAAGATCACGACCTGCCCCAAAGTCAGAGGCTTAATCGATTGAGCCACCCAGCCGCCCTAGTCCTTGGTGAATTTTTACAGTGACATAACCGATTCAGAGATGTACACACCGCCCAGAGAAACACACAGCATCACAGGCCAAGATCAGGGCTAGGAGGGCACAAACGAGGCAACTTCCGGGTGCAAAATGTAAGGACACCCTCACTCTTAGCTTTGTGCAAGCGCTGACTCTCAGTGGTCCCACAGCCCCCGCATGGAAGTCAGCTGGCCCAAAGTCACAGGACAGAGAGTGACCTTCCCCTGCCTCACCCTATCAGCAAACCTGCTCTTTCTCAGCCCCTGCTGCTGGAGGTGGAGGGCAGGCCAGAGGAGAGAAACTCACTTTGTGCTCCATCCGTCTCAGGCACAGGCCGCTTCCCCCTGGGCCGGGCTTCACCCCCCACCCGCCAGCCTCTTGGAAAGAAGGGGCAGACCCCGGGCCAGGCGGCCGTCTTGGAGCAGAGGCCGCCTCCGGCTGAGCCACGGCCAGGCAAGGCTGTTGGGGGCGGTCTGAGGCGTCCAGGCTCCTAGCCTGGAGAATTCGCGTCCTCAGGACCCGACGGGTCAGGAGCCGGACACCCCACGGCCGACCCTGACTCTCTGCCTTCATCTCACACCTGAGTGGGGGCTGGGGGGCCAAGCCACCCTCTTCAGGGCAGGGAGCTCGGGGACCTGCTCTACCCACCCCTCCCCCAAGCGGTCCGTGGCCTCCACGTTCCTCTTGACGCCCACTGGCCTGAACGAGAGGCAGCCGGCTCACCCCGGGGCCAAGGGAGGACCCCACCCGCTCCCGCCCAGGTGCCCAGGAGGGTGGCCCGGCCTGTGTCTGGAAAGCAGTGCGCTCGCGCGACCCCTTACCCGCGGGGAGGGGGGGGGGAGGAGGGGGGGTACGGCCAGCACCCACCCTGCACGGACTATGCGTCTCCCCACAGGTGCACACCGCTGATAAAGCTCGAGTGTTGAAAAAAACAAAGCTTATAAATCACGGGCAGCAAGGGATGCAGGACGATTAACAGCAACATAGAACAATTATAGCAACAACCTGGAGCAAATGTCGTGGGTGCGCTCGTGCGCTCTCAAACCGCCTCAGGACCCTGTACTCACCCTGCCCCCTGATGACGTAAGCGGGGAAACGCCTACGTGACGTGACGGCGCCTCCGGAGGCGCATGACGTCCGCGTGACGCAGCGGCAGGCTGCTCCGGACCTGGGACTTGACGTCAGACGTAGCACCCGCTTCCGGTGGCGGTTGCCGGGGCAACCGGGACGCGGCCAGCGTGGAGTCTGCGTCTCGGTGCGAGTGCTGACCTCAGGCGACCCCAGGAGGGATCGGAGGACCCTACCATCCCCGCGCTGCCAGCTGCCAGCTGCCAGCTGCCAGCTGCCGCAGCCGCAGGCCATGCGGAGCTCCCTGCTCCCCAGCGCCTCGCTCCCGGTCTCTCCCCCAGGGGCGCAGGTTTAAAGATCTTCCAAGCACCCGGTGGGTGGGCGTCTCTGGAGCCCGCTCCCCAGTCCTGGCGGTGACTGGGCGCCAGGCACAGCCTGACGCTCAGAAAAAGCACTGGAGAAGCCGGTTAATGCAAACCCCAGGGGCGCCCCTGATTCACTGGTCTGCCTGTTTGCAGACATGCTACGGCCTTTGCCCGGCGTTAAAGTTGGTAGACTGCGCAGAACTGTTGGCCAGGCAGGTGGCCCAGACCCCACCCCACCCCCCGCCCCGCCCCGCCCCGCCCCCAGGGATTCTGATTCAGCAGATGCGAAATTGGAGGCCAAGAATCTCTCCTTGAACAATCAGTCAGGTGATCCCTGAGGCAGGTAAATTCACTTACCTTTAAGCAAACACATAGTAGCTAGAAATCAGGAAGGTGGGCAGAGTGGTCATCCCCTTGTACAAACGAGGAACCAAGGCTAGGCCAGTGACATGTGCTGGAGCGAGCAGAGTTGGGATTTCACCCATACCATATATATATATATATATATATATATATATATATATATATA